GCCGTGGGCGGCTGCCGGGGCTGCGTGGGGACGCCGGAGGAGGCGGTGGCAGTGACCGGCTCTTGCTTTCTCCCCGCAGAGCAACAAGATGTTGAATTACAGCCCCTCGGGTGTCAGCGGGTGCCTGCTGGACAGGAAGGCGGTGGGCACCCCGGCCGGCGGGGGTTTCCCTAGGAGGCACTCTGTCACCCTGCCCAACTCCAAGTTTCACCAGAACCAGCTCCTCAGCAGCCTGAAAGGGGAGCCGGCTCCCATGCTGGGCCCCCGGGAAAGCCGCTTCCGGGACCGCTCCTTCTCCGAGGGCGGCGAGCGCCTGCTGCAGCAGAAGCAGCCCGGGGGACAGGCCAACTCCAGCCGCTACAAGACGGAGCTGTGCCGCCCCTTCGAGGAGAACGGTGCCTGCAAGTACGGCGACAAGTGCCAGTTCGCCCACGGCATCCACGAGCTGCGGAGCCTCACCCGCCACCCCAAGTACAAGACCGAGCTCTGCCGCACTTTCCACACCATCGGCTTCTGCCCCTACGGGCCACGCTGCCACTTCATCCACAACGCGGAGGAGCGCCGCGCCGTGGCGGGGGGCCGAGAGCCCGCCGTCACCGACAGACCCCGCCTGCAGCACAGCTTCAGCTTTGCCGGCTTCCCCAGCACTGCTGCCAGCGGGCTGCTGGACAGCCCCACTTCCATCACCCCGCCGCCCATGCTGAGCGCCGACGACCTGCTGGGCTCCCCCACCTTGCCTGACTGCGCCAGCAACCCCTTCACCTTCTCCAGCCAGGAGCTGGTCAGTCTCTTCGCCCCCAGCATGGGGGTGCAGGTGCCCAGCGGGAGCTCCCCCACCACCTTCTTGTTCAGGCCCATGTCCGAGTCCCCCAACATGTTTGACTCGCCGCCCAGTCCTCAGGACTCCCTCTCCGACCAGGAGGGCTATCTGAGCAGCTCCAGCAGCAGCCACAGCGGCTCAGATTCCCCTATCCTGGACACCTCAAGACGTCTTCCCATCTTCAGCAGACTCTCCATCTCCGATGACTAATCTGGGGTTTCCTCTTGCTCCCCCCACCTCTATTATGATGTTAAGCTGAACTCCCCCCTCCCTGTCCCCAGTAGTCCAAGCTGGATGTTAACGTGTCTGCCTGCCTGCCGTAGACCCACTGGCTTAAACCTTAAGTGCCAAATTACAATGAAAAGCAATAACGTTTACAAAATTAGTGCCTTTAACACTTTCACTGTGACTGTATTACCTCTCCAGCTGCAGAGGGCACCAGCAGCTCTGTGCACTTCCAGATGTGCAGGAAATGTCCGGATCCAGCTCCCTCCACTGGCCACGTACTGCATCGCCCTCTCCCAGTCCCTTCCCGACTGGCCAGTTTCTGCTAGGCTGCAGGCATGTGGGCAAGCGTTAACATCCAGTCCTCTTTCTCCCCTCCCCTTAAAGACTAATCTTGCCTGGATCCTCCGCTCAGGTCTGCGGGAAGAAAAGCTGAGAACAGACAAAGATTGTAACATGAGTGGGACTTCGACTGGGAGGAAGAAAACAAAACAGAAAAGAAAACAAGAACCAGATGGACTATGAGAGACTTGATTTTGGTGCTAAAAGTTCCCCGTGTATTCATGTGACATCTTAAATAAAGAAATAGAGGGGGTGGGGCCGACGGAAGTCATTCCACACACACACAAGTTCGTGTAAACAAAGTTCCAGTAGACATAGCTTTAATGGTTTTGCTCTAGAGTACTTTAGACCTATCTTAGAGCACTCACGCCAAGCTTTTTATTATTTTTTTTCTGGGTTTTTAATTTTGTATAACTTTTCAGAAATTGGAGAGCAGATTTTGCTTGTCACTGCACAACAATATAAAAAAGCTTATTTAACTTATCAAAACGTATTTATTGCCGAAACCTATGCTTTTTTGTTAATTTTGTTCATATTTATCGGGATGATGAATCCATAGAATATATTCTTTTATGTTTAAATTATGATCTTCCGTATTAATCTTAAGATTGTGAAGTGTCTTTTTTCCTTTTTTCCCCACAGTTTAATATATTATACTACAATGACATTTTTTGTAACTTTACACTTTTTTGGTTATTTTATTTTAAAAAATGAAAAATTAATTTAAAAAAAATGCAAAAACTGTGTTTGGATTATTTATTTTAGTATTCCCCCCCTTTTTTTTTTGTGTTGGACTGCAAATTGAGTTAATGTGCTTCTTTGCCTTTCCTCTTCTCCTCCTCTTCCCCTCCCTTGGGTCTTGCCTACCTGGGCTTTAGAATGTACATACCTGAGCTCTGTTACGAGACAGCGTGGAAGGAAGACCTTTTTCTTCCTCTCTTCTTTGTATAGATTCTTCAAGGAGAAAAGCCTTGGGCTCAAAGTGCCTATCTGAAGACATTCCAAATACAGTTTGTCTTTGCGTTTCTGTATTCCAAGTTTGGAGTTTTCCTTGCCGAGGTGAATGGGACTGGCACAAAGAGAATAATGAATGTAATTTTTTTCCTCCCCCTGTTACTGTTCACTACATTGCTTTTTCATCCTCTTTGTGTGAGTTTATTTAAAAGAGAATCTCTTTTGTAACGACTGTTTGCAGTTTAAATCAATAAACCCCAAGTTTTTTCAAGAAACTGACAGTGGAGCTGGTTTTACTTGCAAAAATCGAGGGGCTGGTTTTAGACAACCACTCAAATGCAGATACTTCCCTCCTCTTGGCCCTTGAGGTGCCCACCGTGTCCTTAGGCATCCTTCCATCATTCCTCACTGATTCAGTGGATCAGCCCTACCAGTGTGTGGGTGCACAGATCAATGGCAGCAAAGACCTGATGTGACCTACCCCGGTGGCCTCTAACCCTCTCTGTCTCTTACGGAGTCCTCCTCTCATCTTGAGTTGCTTGCTCTGTTCCTGCAAACTTCTTTCTGATCAGTGTAGCTTAAACCTTGGGCTGGCCTTTGTTCCTCATGTGCCCTGTGTTCCTGCACAGCTCCTTCCCCCTCGAGGAGAGCCTATGTGTGTTTCGAGTGAGGCTGAAGTGGGATGTTGAAGTGGTGCGGATTTCCCAAATCTCAGGTCTGGCTTGGTGGTACTTACTAGTCTGCTTTGGCAGAGCGGCTGTTTGGTGTTTTGCATGGGAGAGGAACACGGACCTCCAGCAAAGCCTTGGCGTACACGCAGGTCCCCCTGCTAACGCATTCAAGGCCTCGTACCCCTTGAAGTATCAGTCAGCAATCCCAGAAACTTCTGAAGCCAGTGGTTTTGTCTAGGGATTCTTCTTTGCCAGCGCTGCTCATGGTGTAAGTCTTGTGTTTTCACCTTTGAGCTCTCCTCTGGAGCAAGCTTGGCGCTCTTCTTCATCTGAAACTCTTCCAGCTCTCTTCCAAATCAGGGGTGGAATATTGTTGCTGAACCACAGGTCCTTCAGCTGTCTTGACATGCCTCAATGTTCGGGAGAGACATTTCCTAATTCATGTTGGAAAAATTCCTGCCAAACAAAAGCTTCAGGACACCTCAAGGCTTATACCGACGTACTTTCCCTGCTGTTGGCTTTGTGCAACATGCTTTCTTGTGTGGTCTGGCAATAAAGGTGAGCTAGGTGGAGGAAAGATGGTGGAAGAGGAGTGTGGCTGGTAGAAGCTGGTTCCCATGAAGAACGTGCCCGGCAGATGCTGACAACTAGCACGCAGTGTGGTCTGCGTGCTGATCCCTGAGAGAAGAGCCTCGGGCACAGCCCCAGTACTGCTCAGTGGCCTTCAGATACCTTCTGCTGACCACAGCCTTGCCCCTGGGCCCAAAGGTGATGGGGCCCACATGAGAGATGGGCTTCTGCCTGGAAGACCCGTGCCCAGCTGCAGCAAGCACCCAGGCCTGCATCCTTCCCCGCTGCTGGAAGCTGAGCCGTCGGCCCCTGAAGAGTGAGGCATATCTGATCTGGAGAGGATCCCAAGCCTATCGCAGGGCGTGCATGTGGAGCTTGAAGCTGCTCACTTCCTCTCAGGACTTTCTGTGTAGCTCTTCAAAGAAATAGTCTTTGCCCAGTTAATAATTGATGAAGAAAATACCTGTATTAGTTGCACGGTGCTATTGGTACGACAAACAACTGGGAAGCTGTGCTAAAAGTAGGTCTTCACTCACGGTACTTGTATACCTCCCTTGTCCTTCTAGTGCGCTAGTTCTGGGAAGCCAGAACCATTTTTCTCCTCTGAGTTTATTAATGGTAAATGCTCTACTACTCAGTGTTTTGCTTTTTGAAACTAACCTTAGGCTAGGTCACGCAGGGGACAGAGAAGAGCAGAACAGGCAGCATCAGAAGTTTACTTTCTGTAAGAGCTGGGGGGAGAGAGAGCCGGGATCTGTCTGATCTGATACCATTAGCATTCATTGCAGCTTGCGTATATGGCAGCAGCTAGTCTGGAGGGACTTCTCCTTCCTTGGATTTGCCATGGATGAGTTGTCCATGCTGTTTCTCGTAGGGTTAGCATCTGTGTCCCCTAACAGTTCGCCATGGTTGGTAATAGCCTAGCCAAGGCTGAGAAAGGTAAATAGCCTTTCCTGGCATGATGGTTTTGAGACACACGTTCCTCTGACTCAAGGGCTCCTCCATGCTCTGGCTCATTGATTTAGTGCGCGGGACTCAGAGTGGCAGGAGGAAAGGGCTGGCCTGTGCACTGGCACAGTCGTTCCTGACGTGCCCGGTGTGCCAGGGCAGAGAGAAGCACCCCCAAGGACAAGATACCTCTCATCCCTTGTAAGGTGGCATGGCAGAGTGTGCCTCGGTGCACTTTACAGGTTGCACTTACAGCTCTTACTGTGGGGCAGGGGGATACCTATGGTGGCTCTTGCTGCTCCTCACATACATACATACTTTTTGTTACGGTCATAAAAGCTTGCTGTGGGCTGCTTGTAAGAAGACCGGGTCCATGCCTCTGGGCTGCAGGCATTAGCTGTCACTTACTTTTCGGCTTCAAAGTCAGGTGACTCTAGTGCTATCCACCTTCAACATGTCTAGCTGTCTTTGGAAATTACAGCCAGTGTGTATGGCTGGCTGTGCCAGTTGCCTCTTGCTAAGGAGTAACGTGACTTTGATCTGCAGAGCTCCAGGTGGCTCAGATCCCACTCCGGTAGCTGCCTCCCTCCCTAATTCCTACAACAGCTGTAGGTGTCCCAGCGGCTGTACTGGCTGCTCCCTTGCTATGGGCTATATGTGGCTTTTGTACCAAAACATCTTCAGTTCTGCAATTGAGGGCTGTAGAAACAGAGGCTGCCTCATTTCCCAAACTTCTCTGTAGGTGAGGGCTGCAAAGTCAAACAGGGTTTCTTTGTTGTTGTTTTTGACAGCAGTTGGGAACTTTACTATCTAGTTTTGGCCAATCTTTGTTTAGCATCACTTGTACATAGGCATGGTGTGCCAGATTGCAAGTAACAAAAAATACCATTTAAAAAGAACCCTGAAGTGCTCCAAGTTCCTGGTCCTGACAGAATTTGCCTCATCAGCATAGTCATGAAATTGGGAGGGAGAAGGGAAAGAACTTAGAGAAGCAGAGAACAGTAGAAATACGCCTGGAGGACTGTTACAAGCTGGCTCGAATTTTCAGTCTGTACGGTTCCTGCGCAAGGAGGGCAATGGTCTGCGAATGGGACTTGGAGCTGCTGTCGCAAATCATGTAGGGAAGACGGGGCTCTGCCAGGCCTTGCACAGCAGAGGGGAGGTGGCGGCGGGGCAGGAAGCAATGGGGCCACCGTTAGAGACTGGGAGCAAGGCAAGAGCTGGAGATCAATCCCACACAGCATGGGGGTAGTAAGGGCGAGAGAGAAGCCATGCTGTCCTGAATCTGAAGACTTCTTAACTAATGGTGTTTGGATGCATGAAGCCTAATGAACTGGGTGTCTCCAGTGGGGCTCAGGAGCAGCGGCATTGAGGGGAAGGTCTGGATAATGTAGCCTGCTGGATACTATCTGATGACTATGCCCAAGGATATGAATGAGTATTAAGATGCAGTAATACATGTGAAAACCACAGCATGCCCTTTACACTTGCTAATTGCTGCAATTTGTGTGGCCTGCATTGGGCAAAGCTAGCATGTGCTTGAGTCTGGAGAAAGAGGCTTTGGGCAAAGGTGCAGCGGTCAGCATGTGAGCAAAGAGGCTCCTGGGTCCAGTGCTGGAGGTGCTGCGGGGGCTGGAGGCTGCAGACGTGTCCAGGGGTG